ATATATATATATATATATATTATATATATATATTGACTTAGGCCCATAAAAGATGCTGGGTGCAGGGTGATGAGGAGATATTCTTGGATGCATCAACTTGTGCTTTAGCATTCCAGCTATTACGAATGAATGGATACATTGTAAATTCAGGTTAGCTTAGAAGCAAAATTTAATTTTTATTATTATTATTCGTATTATCTTACCAACATCAAGGGGAAAAGAGTACTTAACTTACGACATGCTTTATATTTTCTGGTTTGCCATGCAGAGCGTTTAACAGGAATTATAGAAGAATGCCTTTCGAGTTCCTTCCGTGGAAGTATGATAGACGTCCACACCACTCTTGAACTATATAGAGCATCACAAGTCATACTATCTACAGATGAAGGAGATTTAGAAAAACTAAATTTAAGGCTTAAACACTATCTCGAGCAGAAGCTATCCCATGGGTTAACATATTCAAGCCAACTTGGCAGAAACATTGAGCAAGAGGTATATACGTTGCCTTACATACCTGATTCTAATTAAATTTCTGATTATATATATATATATATATATATATATTTTTTTTTTTTACTTCACTCGACATTTATACGTAATTCAAACAAATTTAGTTTCTTGTCAGGTGAAGCATGCTCTGCAATATCCCTTTTATGCAATTATGGAACGGGTTGCAACACGTCGTAATATCGAGTGTTATACCTCCAATAGTACAAGAATTCTGAAAACTTCATATTGGTAAAATTTTGCATGGATGTTTAGAATTAATTATTTACTCTCTCACTCTCTCTCGTTCAGTTTTTGTTACTTTCTCATGTTTAATCCAGTTCACCGAATCTTGGCAACAAAGATTTCCTTTTACTGTCAGTAACGGACTTCAACAGGTGCCAAGCCATACACCGTGACGAACTCAAAGAGCTCGAACGGTATAATTTGTTCAACAATAGAAATTCTGAACTGACTAATGACTAACCTAAAAAAAACATTTAATAATGTTTTTCCTATCATTTATTTACTTATCAAGATTTACTGTTGTTTATAGATGGGTTGTGGAGAACAGATTGGACGAGCTGAAGTTCGCGAGAAGTAAGTCTGCATACTGTTACTTCTCAGCGGCATCAACTATTTGGGCACCCGAACAATCGGATGCCCGCTTGTCGTGGGCCCAAAACGCCGTTCTCACTACAGTGGTTGATGATTTTTTCGATGTTGGAGGTTCTATTGAGGAATTAAAAGACTTGATTCATTTAGTCAGATTGTATGTACACTAATATCCCTCTTTTTCTTGCATTACATGAAGAGAGAACTGTGTGCATTGATCATGTTCATTACAGGTGGGATGATGCTGATGTCACTACACAATGCTTTTCAAAGAATGTGAAGATAATATTTTCTGCTCTCAGGCGCACAATATCTGAAATTGGAGAAAAAGGATTCATACGACAAGGACGTAATGTGACCAACCATATAATCAATATCGTGAGATTTTCTAAACATTTTTTTTTCTTTTTTTTTTCGCTTTTCCTTTATCTCGAGTGAAGATCATCAGTAAGGAGGTTCATGTATAGTTAACTATTATACTGTTACAATTGAGCTATAATGAATTGACACCTTTTTTTCATATCTGCTAGTGGCTGGATTTGCTAAATTCAATGATGAAAGAAGCCGAATGGGCCCGAGACAACTACCTTCCAACAATGGATGAGTATATGAGCAATGCATATGTCTCGTTTGCCCTCGGCCCAATTGTCCTGCCCGCACTTTATCTAGTTGGGCCCACGCTCTCAGAGGAGATGGTCCAGAATCCTGAGTTTCATAATCTATACAAACTGATGAGTACATGCGGACGCCTCCTAAACGATATCCAAACTTGTGAGGTAACTTTTATGTCCTCTAAAATTTAAAAAAAAAATAAAAATTGAGAATTGAGACAATACCATAGAGAACACTAAATGAAATTAATTTCAGTAAATATATAACAATTATAGAGCCCCAGAAAGCTGAAAATGATCCCTAATAAAACTAAAAGAACATAAAAGCCTACAATATCCCTAAATGAATTACAATAAAACTCGAAAAAAATGAAAGAAACTGAAAATTTGAAACTAGAGCCCTAAAAATTGGCAAAACAGAACCAAAGAGTTGGATTGCTTAGGACGTGATTGGATATGGATTCAACTAGTAAAAAACTAGTTTTTTCTTAACTATAGTTAAATTTGAAAAAAGGTAGTATGATTAATTGTTAGTGGATATATTAAAATAATATTTGAAATAAAATAATTAAACTTGATTTGATATAAAAGTAGGAAAAAATGATTGGAAGTGATGATTAGTTAAAATTATGTGTGTGGATGAATAGTGAATTGAAGTTGTTGTGATGTGTAAGAATGATTGGTTGATAATGGAGTTGAGTTAAAGTTGAGCTAAATTGGAGCTTTGATTGGTTCTTTTACTGTAGAATTCATATACAATCGCTCCCTTAGTCTGTCTGACCGTAGAGTTTCCGTCAAATATCGTTTATCTTCAGACTTCTATTTTGTCATCCGACCTTATCTTAGTATTAATCTTTAATTCTGTCTACAGAGAGAGCTGAAGGACGGCAAACTGAATGCGGTACCTTTGTATATGATTAACAGTGGTGGTAAAATCAGTAAAGAAGCTGCTGTTATGGAGATGAAAAGAATGATTGTGAGTCGAAGGAGAGAATTGTTGAGTCTGGTTCTTGAAGAAAAATGCAGTGTGATTCCTAAATCCTGCAAGGCTTTGTTTTGGCATATGAGCACTGTGTTGCACCTGTTTTACGTTAAAGATGATGGGTTTACCTCGCAAGAGTTGATCAAAGTTGTAAATCAAATGATTTATGAACCAATTGTTCTGAGTGAGTGAGATTTTAAGGGTTAATATGAAAATTTAAGAATGTTTGTTGTTCATTGTTGGTTCTTCAATATTGAAGTATAAAATTGGAAGATTAAAAATATAACACTGTTTGTTCTTCATACAAAAGTTCTATTTCATTTTGTTGTATTGAAATCTATGAGAATATTATTTAATATAATACATGTCAAATATAAACTTCAAACAAAAGTTATCATGATATTTTAGACATAATATACAATTTCATTAAACAACAATCATAAAATGTGGGGGTACGACTGATATAGCACCCAGGCATAGCTCATCACATCGATCTAAGAGGCTATCTCGGCTACGACTAGATTGTAAAACTCTCGTAAGTATAGAGACAAAATGCTCAGCCAAGTAGCTCAAACATGGGTTAAAGGTGTCGAGCTAACAGACATGACCTGGAGGTACCGACCTCCAGGAGCCCAGTAAAGTATGCATCGAGTGGTCTGATGGCAAGATAGACCTATGATCGAGGTCGTGTTAGACAAGGTCAGGGATGTCCTCTTAAGGCCATAACAGAGGATGGGAGGTCGTACTTACGACCTGGGCTAAAACAGTAAAAGGAGGCAGAATCCAAGTAAGAAGGAAAGAATCACTCGCTCGATGACTCTTGCCACGATAGAGAGGTGCTAAGTTAGGTAAGTAAAATCCAGATGGATCTCTTCCCTAACAAGAATTCTCTTCGTTTCCAAGATATTAAGTCCTATAAAAGGACGGCAAGTTCTCTCTAGTTACACAACACACATTTCACACTTTATTCTATACATTTTGTACATTCGCAGTTGAGGGACGTTATCAGAAGCTCAAGAAGGGACGTTATCAGAAGCTCAAGAAGGAGGATCATTCAAGGTGAGGTGTTCAACACGGTCGTGACCAAATGTGGCGTATCAAATTGGCGTCGTCTGTAGGGGAAATCCAGTCTCCTTATCGGCTACCAGAGGCCTACACTTCTGCCGGGATGTTATCAGAAGCTCAAGAAAGAGGATCGTTCAAGGTGGAAGGTGTTCAACACGAACGTGACCAAATGTGGCGTATCAAATTGGCGCCGTCCGTAGGGAAATCCAATCTCCTTATCAGCTAACAGAGGCTAGCTCTTTTCTCTCAAACACTCGCAAAAAAGACGATCACAATCATGCTTTAACGACAACGCCAAGAAGAACAGAAGAGACAGACGCAGCATGGCAGAAGAAGCCAATAGGATCCTATTAGTCCAAGACAGATGAAGAAACATAACGTTGGAAGTTAGAAATGTCTTTCCTATTAGTCCTGAACTTCCACACATGCACAAAAAATACTTTTTAAAATAAAACCATATATTCTAATTGACGGCATTGCATAGCGGTCAACGACGATCATAGAAGAAAACTTATGAAGAAAATATAGAGTAGCGGAAGCGCAACAAACTCAGTTTTGTTTCTAATGTAGATACAAACCCAACTCTTTTTTCTTTGATATTATTAAGCTTTGTGTGGATGAATACGAATTGGAAGGCCTTTGTTTGGTGTGGGAACTGGGTAACTATGGATTCCCTCTTCTGGTATTGCTAACTCCCATCTAAACCTTCGAATCAGATTGTGTAGAAAGCTGAGAATCTCCAACCGGGCAAACTCTTTGCCCAAGCACATTCGAGGTCCTCCTCCAAACGGAATAAACGAATAAGGAACATTATTACAACCTTCGAATCTTGAGGGATCAAACGTTTTCTCGTCTGGAAATAAGTTAGGATCTGCATGCACCACCGGTGCATTCCAAAATAACTGTCGTGTCGTCATAAGATACATTCCGTTAAATAATCAATACAATCATCGATCAAGATTAAAAAAAAAAAAATAAAAAAAAAATAAAATGAACATAGATGAGAAGTTTATTAAGATATGTAAATAGTAAACACCTTCCATCCTTTGGGTATAATATAGCCTCCATAGTTAATGTCCACCAGAGCTTCCCGAAAGCCGGATGAAACAGGCGGCCACAACCTTAGAGTTTCACACACCACGTTCCACGAGTACTTCATCTTTTGTGTATCCTCCCACTGCAGAAATTCTCCAGGTTTTTTTGATGACGCGATTTCATTTTGCTCTGCTTTTCAAAATGTATTTAAAAGAAAAAGACAATAGATTTGTTGTATTTGACTGAATTGGCTAAGACAAACAGAGTGTAGAGGTAAAATGCAGCAGGGGATGACAAAAAGTACCTCTCAACACTTTCTCGTAGACCTCGGGATGTTGGGCCAGAGCTTTTACGAGCATAGTTATTGTAGATGCAATAGTGTCTTGCCCCGCAAAGAGTAGCAATAGTATATTATTTACTATAAGCGACTCGGACATAAACTCCCCGTTCTCATCCGCTGTGACGAGCAAATGAGACAAAAGGTCCTGTGAAGGCGAAGCCGTTTTCTGCTCCAATGCTCGTCTCCTCTGTTGCACTATTATTCCAAGTTCCTTCTTGATAGCTGCTGCTGCCCTCACCGCATAGTAGAATCCTGTTCCTGGTAAATTAAGAGGGATACAAATAAGTCCGTCGAGCAAAACATGAAAAAGGTCCCCAAGTTTCTTGATTTGTGCCGCATCATCAATGCTCATGAATGCTCGACAAGCTACCTCGAACGCATATTTCTTCACTGCTGGATGCACCTTCACTTCTTCTTTTCCTGCAAAAGCGCCAATAAATTAGAAGAAAAGAAGAATGAAAATGATGAAGATATAGGTGAGTTATTCATGGTTTCTGTTGAGTATTTCCAATTTATAAAGGATCACTACAGTACAGTCCCGTCATGGAATGATTATACGGTTATTACTAGCTTTAGATACATACACACATGTAGGGTAGATAATATATGGTTAGAACACGCTTAGGGAATCATTTCATGATGGGACTGTAGTTATTTCCTAATTTATAATCTATGGTTAAAAGTGCATACCTTGCCAGTAAGTGTCGAAATGTTGACACGATACAAGGTCGATAGTTTCGACATAGAGTTTGGAGAAGACGACTGGACTGACAAAGTGTGAGACGGTCTTCCTCATGCGCATGCCTTGGGCACCTACGGTGGTCGTCAAACACGTCCCGAGAAGCTTCCTCACGGAAGCCGGCCACCAGATGGCCACCAACTTATTCTCATTTCCGAACAGAAACTTGTTCCCATCAGGCCCACACAGCACGACCATATGCTCCCCCAAGATTGAGGTCTTCACCACCGGGCTCTCGTACCTTTTCATTCTGTCTCTGACGAATTTTCCGGGGGACCCTTGTTTCAAGCAGCTTACGAATTCTAACGAGTCTCCAAGTATCGGCCATCGGTAGCTGCCCGGAGGGAGATTTGTTGAGCCTTTGGTTTTGTTCTTATATAAAATGCTAACAGTGATGGTAGCCACTATTATGAAGGCTGTGAATGTGATGATCAAAGTACTGTCCATGTACAAACCTATTGTTGATTGATCTCAACCAAATAATTCAACAATATTAGTTGAAGAGAAGGTATGGTCAGATGTATGGATATATAAATGCCTGTGGCCACATGATGCATGTGGAGTTGACCTTGTTTTATATCTTCAGGATTTTTAGTTAGCAATAAGTACTTAAGTATGTGCTGTTGTTTGATTACGGTTGGAGGAGGGCTTATTCTTAGTGTTCTCTGTGTGTTTTGCTTTTGTAGGTTGTTTTAGTTTTTCTACATATTTTGCAGCTCGATTCTCTCTTGTGGGAGTGTTATTCTTCATCGTTGAAGTTTGATTAATTCTCTCATGTGGGAGTGTTTAATCTGTTTGTATTGTGGGTGTGTTAACGTAATTCTGATGTCTACTTGTGTAGACTCCCTGAATTTGGCTAGATGGTTACGGCTCATTCTAGTTGATTTCTAGTTGTACTTCGGTGTTTTTATCTATAAATACTATCGTTTCGAAAAAAAAATAAATACTTAAGTATAATCTTAACAGAAAGTGCTGACCTCTTATTTAATTCTTTTATATCTTGTCTCCAATCATACTAGTATTCGATAATGTGCACATGCACAAATATAAATAGAGTTTTTATAATTTATATTTACCCACATAATAAGTATCATGTTTTAAAATTTTGAACATTAGTAAAGATATAAACAATACAAACTGTTTGAGGGCATACGAATTCTAGATTGATTGGATAAAATGAAATTAAGCTTAGATTGATTGGATAAAATTTAATAAATATCAATTTTATAATTTTGAAGGATGATGACCAATTAACTAGCTACAAAAATATTAAATTTACTTCTTTAACAATTGAATATGCAATTTTGGGTTTGACTATACCATTAGAACTAATTATTATACTTAAAAAATCTCTTAATAAGATAAAAAAAGATATATATCATTGATTTTAGAATAAATAATTTTAGAAAAAAAGTTTTACAATATTATCTTTTTTATACTTATGTAACTTTCGTATACCAATTAGTATAAAATATAATACTTAATTTTAATAATAAATTTAATATAGTAAAATAATTAAAGAAATATAATTATTACTTAATTAATATAAAAGTTATACAAGACTCGTGTACTACACGAGTGTTTGCTAAACAATTAAATGTTCAAAAAAAATGAAAGAAAAATAATTATAAAGCAATTAAATGTTCAAAAAAATGAAAGAAAAATAATTATATATTTTGTTGAAGTTGGAAAAAATAAATAAAGAACAATATATAATAATTTATAAATAAAGAACTTAATGAATTTACAATATTATTTTAAATTCTGAAAAACTAAACTATACACATCATTAGTTTTATTTAAATACTTTTATTTAAATCACATAAGAGAATAATATGGACAAAGCGCAAAATTCAGAAAGTAAGATAATGTACACATTAAAGAAAGAAGATAATAAATAAATTTATATGTGATAGTTTAATTACATTAAATGTGTATATATGACAATTCCGACCTAAGCTATTTGGTACAAAAAATAAATAAATTTTATCCGAGTTATATTACAAAGCATAATATTTTGCCACAGAAGACTACGAAGCGTACGAATCTGCTACTTAATCTCAATGCGTTTTAAAATTATACAAGGAGATGTATGTTTTGTGTCATATTTAATTGAGAGAGAGAGAGAGACATAGAGAGAGAGATTCGTATTAAATCATTTATCCCTCTTTATATATGACTTCAACTTTTTTTTTTATCCTTTTTCTATTTCATAAAAGTAGCATCGGCTACATGCTTAATTTATTTATTATCCATCAATATTCATATATGATTGATGTTGGGTGTAAATTAAAATATCGATGTAAACTGGTGAACAATACTTCCAATCCCAACAACTTAAAAATGACAAAAGAAATCTCTTGCAATAAGACATGAATAATTCATTTCTGATGTGAAATATCAGATTAAACTGCGACCACAGAACATACTAAAAATATCCCAAATAAATAAAATATGCAAAAAAGAAGACATCGAGATTTAACTTGGAAAAACAATTTCATTACATATTTTCAAGATAATTACAATATCTTTTCACACTCGCTCACACTAGAAATGTAAAATATAGTGACCTAGTGAAACCCCACTACTATTCAAATATTACAAACAATGAGTAATAAAGATGATACCCAACCCGATGTATTTTTCCCCACACTCACAAGATTATTTAAACTCAAAAATTGTCTCACTCTTGGTGTATTTAATCAGCACCTAAATTGATGCTATATATAGAGAAGGATTGCTCCTAAATTGTCAAAGTTTGCAGCCCATAGCTTAATGTTTCAATTTAAGGCTGCTTAACAACCATACATTTGGCTGGATGTTGACACTTGAACTTTTTATCCGTTTCTATTTTAAAAGTAGGACCAGTAGGCAACATGTTCTTAAAGTCAAAACTCGAATGCTACGTAAAATAATTAATTAGGCTATTTCAAAATTTTATGTTTTTCATTTTTAAATTAAAAAAAAAATACTTAAACATTTATAATTGTTTAATTACTACTATGTGCAGTAATTGACCATGACGGAGCCCGGGGAGAACATTATATCGAGTAGCGTAGCTAGAAATATTTTTTATACTGTGCTGCTAGAATCAATTTGGTATACATGGGCTAAAAAATATTTTTCTAGTACTACATATTTAAATAAATCATAAAATTAAGACTGGGCTGGAGCCCGGGTGAGCCACCCTCTGGCTACGCCCCTGATTATATCACATTGGCTTTTGGCGAGAATCATATTTGATGCTATTTTTAATATTACACGATTCATTTTTACAAATGTTAACATAAATAGTGTTGGCATTTTTAACAAAATATATCTTGGTTAAAAGTAACACTAAAACACACTAAATAACAATACTTTATACAATTATATAAAAATATCGGTTCTCATAGTATTCACGTTAGGAATTGGTTCTCATTTGAACCACATCCTATATTTTTATATATAATATGTCGGTTTAAAAATGTCATCCGAACTACAGAGAAAATCGCCGTTTATCATATCAACTTTTTTCCTTTTTCTTTTGGCGAACAACCATACGAACGCCACGTTCTTTCATCTTGCCCCCTTAAACCGGATACAAAATGGTTTTTTCCATGGTTTTTGCTTGAATCGGATATAAAATCGGAACATCTAATATCTTGCCTTCAGTTCCAGAATCCTTGACCCCAAAGTTAATTAGAAGTAAACAAAATGGCACCCATCATAACCTGCATACCAGAAAAAATTCAAATTATTATTATTATTATTATTATTATTATTATTATTATTATTTTTATTATTATTATTATTATTATTATTATTATTATTATTATTATTATTATTATTATTATTATTATTATTATCATCATCATCATCTTACTTGGATCAACGGTGACGAGCAAGGCCGTTCCCCCAAAATCGCACGTTCCCCCGTTCACTTTAGTCCTTTGCCAATAGCTATTGAATGCATACGATGCATGAGCAAGCACAGTGTTGGGCTCGAAACACGGCCCACTGGGCTGAATCTGGTTACAATCAGCCCCCGACCCGCATGCAAAATTCATGGCTTCCAGGATAATCGGCTCCGGGACTGCAGCCTTCGCCACGCACCACATGGCAGTGGACGGGCCCCGTTGACGTGGCGGTGGGACCGAGGGTGGCGGGTACACAATCGGGGGCAAGAACCTAGGCGATGGTGTATTGTAGGGCGGCCCGGGCTCCGAACTTGGTGGGCTTGGCTCGTAATAGTAAGGTGGGCTTAGCACAGGTTGAGCTGGCGTGGAGATATCTGTGGGAGGGTTTGGGCTCGAAGGTGGGATTGGAGTTGGGCCGGGCAATGTGGACGAGGCCGGAGGGGATGGCAGCTGTGGAGTGAATGGGGGATAAACACAGTATGGAGGGCCATTATCGGGCAAAGAGATTGGAGGGAGTGAATCATAAGGGGCCATGGAAAATGGCGGGCTCACGTATGGGCCCGTGTTCGATTCGTCGAAGGGCACGAATTTTTTGGATAAGTGAAATTTTCTTGGAGGTTTTGTGATGGAATTTTTGAGATGCTTTCCAATTCTGTGCCGGTGAGTTGTTTTTGTAGCATCTGATGAAATGCGAGGGATTATTAAGTTATACATCAAATGCAGGAGATTCTACGGTCCCGTTATGGAACTATTCCGTCGGGGTTTGTAATCATTAGATAAATATCTACTACGGTTACATGATGATCTAACGGTTACAAAATTCTGACGGAATGGTTCCGACTGTAGCATTTCCCAATTAATGCAAAAGTGTCATAACAAATCTACTCATGCAAATTGAAATCAAAGTTCTAATGATAAGTGTGCAGTAAATGAAACCATCTGCCCAGAAATAAAATGATAAAAAATCAATATCTTACCACATTGCTCTAGCAAAACTTCTGCAAGACAAACACAGAGAACTAAAATGCAAAACCGAACAGCTCCATTTTTCTCCATCGTATGGAAAAATCAAGAAAGCTCAGCGGTCTATATGTAAAGAACGAAAAATAAGTTCGTTCGAAACAAAACAAAAAACAAGAAGGAACATTTTAATTGGTCAATATTTATAGCCCAACTAAAAGACAGATTCTTAAGCTCATCCTGCTTTGCACTGTCAGAAAAGAGTGCTTGCAAAATGTGTATCACAAGAAATGTAAAAGAGAGTGGCTAAAAAGTAGTGTGTAAGTGCATATTTTAGGAGGAGGAAGAGTATGAGGATCCAAATTAGTGATTAAATTATATCAGTGTTGAGATATATGGGCATATGTGCTTGCCTTGACATAGGAAAAAAAACTCTTGTAAAAGTTTGTCTTTTGCTTGCTTTCCACTCAAAGCCAAGATCTTGCCAACATTGTCTCACACCCCCCACAAACTATGTGGCTGGCCCTTATGGTCAGATTCAAGAACAAATGAACTAATGTTACTTGTGTAACTATAAAGGTTGGAATCTGTCTTATAAGTATCATGCCATTTTATTTTATTTTTTTAATCAAAAATTCATTCTTGCATGCAACTAATAGTTAATCCTTGCAATCTTCCACCAATTAGTGAGTACGTTTTAGATGAGGTGCCAATTTGTCCACGATCGGGTTGAATCGATCGATTCTCGAACGTCCTTTTGCTCCGAGCTCCGATGACCTGCAATATATTGAAAGAGGGTCTCGACGAGAAACCTTGGACGCTCAAGTCATAACTTGCTCGAGAGAATAAACTGATAAAGTATATTTTTAATACTAACATAAAACCTGGTTTACCTTATATACGGTGTCTTGATGCCTAAGAGCATCTCCAATGCTCAATGTTGTAGTGGTATTTTACTTTCTATATCAACACATTTATTAATATCACAATTGTCCATCCTCCAATGTACAATGGTATCTCAAATGTTGTCATGATGTGCACATAATTAATGTCTACAATGTAGAGTAGAGTGTGGTTCATTCACATTCTACTCCACATTCTAATTAGCCAATAAGGAGAAGAGAGAAAATTATTATTACCATTTTCAAACTATTTAATTATTTAATTAATTTTATTAATTCATATTAAAATTTAGTATTTGACAAGTAGATAATATTGTAATTAGGCAACATTGTGCATTGGAGATGGTTTTTTAATTTAATAGTTGTGAACTCAACATTTATCCTACATGGTTCACAATCTATTTAATTTTTTGACATTTGTCAAAAAAATTACTATAACAACATTAGAGCATTGGAGATGCTCTAAGAGAGTCCTATTTAGAAAAGAGACTCAAAACATCATCTTTCCTAATTTACCACGTCTCTATCATGACAAGTCTACTTAACAAGTTATACTTTCCATCTCACTAGGATTCTTTTCGCTTTTACTGCTCAACTCTTGGGTCCCCAGGTGGTAACCACGACCTACCTTCTCGATGTAACCTGGTTAAGGTCAACTCCCAACCTTCTGACTAGCGACCTTGACACATTAAGGTCATTTTTACTACTCGAGCTCCTAGAGATCACGACCTCCAGGTCATCTTATTATATCGACCAGTACCTTAAGCTATGTTCGCGAGCTCCCTGACTGGGTTAACCTCTTCTTTGCAAGCTGGAGCTCATCTAGACCGACCGAGCTATTCTCGGTGCAACATCATTTAGCCCTCATTTCAGAACGACCTGCCAAGACTTGTGCTTAAATTATACTTTGTTATGATTTTGTACATAGGTTGCTTTTGCATTAATTGCAGTGTCAGACAGCCTGGGGGGATATGAAACGCCAAAAAATGCATCACCAGTTTGGATTGCGATCCTTCGACACGTCTTATGTCCACGTGTAAATGTTCCATCAGATTCTAGCCACAATTTGGACCCCTCGATCTATGTGTTAACCAATAGTCGGATTTCTTTCGCTGCTTTTCATTGACTTACAAGAATTCCTTATTTTTCACTTCAGCCCTTTTACCATTTCCGCACACTTTAGAGCTTTTGCCAAAAAAAGCCTTTTTCAACAAGTTACCATTTGACTTAAAAACACCAGGACCTGCTCTCGATTTTGGCGAGTTCACTGATTTACGTCATTTACCAAGACTGATTTATAGATATGTTCTAAACTCCTTCTTTCCCTTATCTTTCTCTCTATCTCTCTCTCTCTCTCTCTCTCTCTCTCTCTCTCTCTCTCTTTTTTAACTTTTTGGGGCTTCTTTTGGAGATCTCTTTGTCTTGCTCATTTTTCTTCTTTCCTCAAAAAACACCTCTTCATATGTTATCATTCCAGGAACTGGTTCCTCGACCTTCTATTTTCATGCTCGACTAAACACAATAGTCGATAATTTTTTAAACCTTCAAACAACTTCTTTTCAGCCATCCCCTTTTCCTTCAGACGCCTAGACGACGTAGCTACCGTCGAGGGTGCCCTGGCTACAGTTACTCCTGGCCTGGTCCATGTCATCCGGCCTAACCCCCTGTCCTCATGGTTTGACACCGAGCTCGAACACCTCAAGCATGAGTGTGAGCTTCCATGTTCTTTGGAACTCCGAGCCTCAAAGGCCATAGAATCATTTCCCCAGCCCCCCAAGGGCTTCTATACTTTCTTCCTAGACCAGGTCTACTCCGAACTTACTTTTCCTTTGAAGAGCGACCTCGTGGAGCTTGCCCGACTCTACAGGATACCTGTAAACCATTTTATCCCTAACTCCATATAGTGGTCAGACTCTGCATTCTCAGTCGTTGTCTTCTCCATAACCTCAACCCAAATTCTTCCACTACTTTTGGCATAGGCCCCAAAAGGGGTCCTTTTACGTCTCCCTCAGGAACAATGCTTGTTTTCTAGCCGATCTTGTTTATAACATTTCGACTGGAAGTTGAGACACTTCTTTGCCTGACCTCTTCCAAACACATTTGATTTTTCACCTTAATGGCTTCTCGAAAAGCCTGGCCAACTTAAATCCTCTAGACCAAATAAGGCTTAATACGGATCTTATTGCAAAATGGAACAAAACAAATCCCTACGACCTCAACCGTCTGACTGATGATGCCCAACTGAGGTCATATTGTGGCCTTTCTCCACTGCGAGGCACACCTATCTTTGACTTAGGTAGTCCTTAACTTCGGAGGTCCTTATATTTACTATTCCCTCATTTAATCTTTAATTGTTCTTTTAATCTCGTGCATATTTTGTGCTAGTTTCTGTTTTCTTAGGCTCAACCTCTTCGACCAAGCACTCCAGGCAGCTAGAGGCCACCGTTAAGACTACTTGCAAGTGAAACAAGCCCCTCCCATGCCTTAGTCAACGTTTCTCGTCGAACTTCCTCCGATCCAGCCAACTCCTATCCTTGAGCCACCAATAGTGCCCACACTTGGGGGCTCTGAACAGGCTGGGTCCTCCAAAAAAGGGGCCCATATGATGAAAAGAAAAATAGAATACTACCAGCCCGCCTCAGGAAACTACCTAGGAGAGAGGGGCTCCAATCTTGGAACAACCAAATTATTTCGCGATCTCGAAGGACGTAGGCATGCGGTACACGTATATGCTATCTATCTTCTCCGAAGGGGAGACCGAACACTCATCTGGCAACCGGACTTCCCAAGTTGCTCATGTTCTTACTCATACCATCCAGGTATAAAATCTTATATATGTTAATCACTTCTTGTTTATAATACCGACCTCTATGTACTTGTATTCACCTCTTCTGTTCCTAAGATAAAATATATTTATATATTTATATATATGAATATTATGAATTGAAATCAATTCTTGTTCGGTTCCTCGATTTGGTTGTGTTATTTTCTGTTCGATTTTCAGTACAAATATTTTATGAATTTCCATAATCATACCAAAGAAAATTTCGGTACATTCAATTTTGGGATAGTCAAACAGTCAACAAATATTTTTCATTTCGAGATCGTTCAATTTTTAGAACGGTTTGGAGTTCGGTAATCTTCAAGTCCGTGCTAAGCCCGAACTCATAATTAGGACCAACTATGGGTACAAAACCGCCCGTTTTGTTATGGCCCCGGGTGGGCTCGGTTAAGATAACTGGGCAATTTCAACAAAACCCAAATGTCTGATTAGGGTTTAGGGTTCTTCCTATGCAAGTTCATCAAATGGAAGTATTTGTCAAGATCATCAACCTGGTACCAAAATCAGCTTCGGTTTAACTTCCATGTTATGAATATACTAACCCTCTCCCCATTCACCAAATCGACATTCTGGAAAAATGTTAACCCGCGCCTTTTTGTTCTCGAAAAATCTCAGACAATCAGGAAAAATATCGACTCCCTCCTCCTTTTCGAGTTATTCCAATCCATTCTGTCCTAAAGCCGACCCAATTTCCTTGTCAAATGATCCTAATTTAATCAGAAAATACTGTTCCGGGAGAACTAGCGAGAATGACCCCGACGTGTGGACAGAGGAAATCGATTATCTTGACGAGTCCGGCGGCGTCATCTACTCCGGAAAGGGAATAAGGTCCGTCGAGCCCGGATTAGACGACCACGTGATGGCCGGTGGAGTGAGAAAGCCCATCTCCAATATCGCTGCCGTGGCTAAAATAGTCGAGATTCTAAAGAGGTGGAGGTGGGGCCCGGACATGGAGACCCAGCTGGACAAACTGCAGTTTGTTCCGAACATGACTCACGTCACTCAGGCATTAAAGATAATAGATGACAGTGAGGCTTTGTTGAGTTTGTTCAGATGGGCCAAGAGGCAGCCTTGGTACTCGCCTGACGACCAGTGTTACGTGTTGCTGTTTGACAAGTTGAATTTGAGCAGGGATTTTGATGGGATTCAGTCGGTTTTTGAGGAGATGGTCTCGGATTCCGGCAGCAATGGGATTTCATCATCCAGCGCTTGTAACAGGGTGCTTCAGTATCTGGCCAAGGCCGAGAAATTGGAGGTCACTTTCTGTTGTTTCAAGAAAGTTCAGGAGCTTGGCTCCAAACTCGATACCAAGACCTATAACTCACTAATAACTCTGTTTCTAAGCAAAGGTTTGCCTTACAAGGCGTTTGAGATTTACGGGAGCATGGAGAAAGATGAGTGTTCCTTGGATGGGTCAACTTATGACATGATGATACCGAGTTTAGCCAAATCCGGCCGCTTAGATGCCGCCATGAAGCTTTTTCAGGAGATGAAAGTAAAGAACTACCAGCCGACTTCTGGGATTTTTTTATCACTTGTTGATACTATGGGGAGGGCTGGTAGATTGGATACGGCTATGAAAGTGTACATGGAAATGCAGGGTTTCGGGCTGAGGCCCTCTGGCGGCATGTTTGCTGCTTTAATTGATTCATTTGTTAAGGCTGGGAAGCTGGATACAGCATTGAGGTTGTGGGATGAGATGAAGAAAGCCGGTTTCAGACCGAACTACGGGCTTTACACAACGATCGTTGAGGCCCACGCTAAATCTGGGAAGCTAGAGATTGCGATGTCAATATTTGCCGATATGGAGAAAGCTGGATTTTTACCGACCCCGTCTACATACTCCTCCCTCTTGGAAATGCATTCTGCCTCTGGACAGGTAGATGCTGCTATGAAACTATACAACTCAATGACGAATGCGGGCTTGAGGCCCAGCCTGAGCACCTACACTGCCCTTTTGACCCTACTGGCGAAAAAGAAGCTTGTAGACGTGGCTGCAAAAATTCTTCTCGAGATGAAGAACATGGGGTATTCAGTTGAAGTGAATGCCAGTGATGTTCTAATGGTTTATGTAAAAGATGGGTCAGTTGATCTTGCTCTGAGGTGGCTCCGATTCATGGGCTCGTCGGGCATCCGGACGAACAACTTCATAATCCGGCAGCTCTTCGAGTCGTGCATGAAGAGCGGCCTATACGAGTCAGCCAAGCCTCTTCTCGAGACGTATGTCAGTGGGGCCGCTAGGGTTGACCTCATACTCTACACGTCAATTCTTGCTCATCTGGTGAGATGCCAGGACGAGACCAATGAGAGGCGCTTGATGTCCATCCTAAGTGCCACAAGGCACAAGGCCCATGCTTTTCTTTGCGGGCTGTTCACCGGGCCCGAACAGAGGAAGCAGCCCGTTTTGGCCTTCGTGAGGGAGTTCTTCCAGGGCATTGACCACGAGCTGGAAGAAGGGGCTGCCAGGTACTTTGTGAACGTTCTCCTTAACTATCTTGTTCTGATGGGACAAATAAACCGGGCTCGGTGTGTGTGGAAAGTTGCGTATGAAAACAAGCTTTTCCCAAAGGCGATCGTTTTTGACCAGCACATTGCGTGGTCACTCGATGTGAGGAACTTAGCTGTTGGGGCTGCTCTTGTGGCAGTGGTGCACACGCTTCATAGATTCAGAAAACGGATGTTATATTACGGTGTCGTCCCTAGGCGGATTAAATTAGTTACTGGCCCGACCTTAAGGATAGTGGTGGCCCAAATGCTGAGCTCGATGGAATCGCCTTTCGAGGTCAGTAAAGTTGTTTTGAGGGCCCCTGGGGATTCTGTGATGGAATGGTTCAAAAAACCGATTGTTCAGCAATTTCTTTTGAATGAGATTCCATCGAGATCGGATATTCTTATGCACAAGCTCAACACGATTTTCCCTAGTTCGGCACCCGAAATCAGATCTCTGTCCCCTCCTAAACCTCTTCTTGCTGGAAAGAGAATGTAAGATATGGGAGTGGTTACGAGGTAATCATCTTTATTTTTGAATTTAGTAGAAAATGGTGGTGCCCCAGAGTCTTTTCTCCCAATTTTTTAAGGTTTTTTTTTTTTTTTTTTTTTTTTTTT